CATTAAGAATTAATACATGTAAACACTGATATTTTTTTAACCTTTCTTTCCTTGAAAAGTGGAGCAGTAAAATAATTTGCATTTATCCTTTTTTATTAAGACTCGTGTACAGAGCCTCGATTTGTACTTGGGTTTAATTAATTTTGGTTAAAACTGTGGTTTAAACTGTGGTCTAATTATCTCTACTAATCTTACTTATTTCCTATAATCAATGACAAAATAAAAGTAAATAAAATAACCTCATAGTTCCATAGTTTATATTTAACCAGCTGTTAGTTAAAACAAATTATATTGCTCTAAAACAAATCGAAGATTACAATGATTGCTTTAAAAAATAATTTGAACATCCTAGTATTTTACTATGTATATTTATTTATATTGTAATCCTCTTACCGAAGAATTGAACGTATCAATGATTAGCATTACATATAGTATAAATAAGTCAACCCTAAGTATGTCTTTACATTTTTATCCAAAGGCTGAATTTGTGACACAAAAGCTGAATGTTTACAGCTGTTATGTTAAGGAAATTATTTTATGCCAAAAGCTAGTTTAGAATCTTAGCGTCGGCTGCTAGACTTTTTAAAAATTAAAATTTAATTTCTAAAAAACTGGGACCCTAAACTAAAATTATGGCTTCGACATTCCCTAGTTCTCAAAATTATCTTTCTTTCAACACAAAAATCATAAAAATCCGTCGAGTGGTTGATTCAGAATCGTGAAATAAAAAAACACTGTTTCGTTTTAATATTATAGATTGTTATGCATTGGTGTAAAAGTGTATTAGTGTATTATATGCAATGTTTTGTTGGCGTTAATAGGGAAACACTTTTTTCATTCACCTGTAAAGTTTTTTTATCAACAAATGTCAATACGCAGAACTGGAGTAGACCTATACAATACATCTCACCGTCGTATAATTTGCGCAAGTGATCACTCAAGTGATAAAATTGACATATTTACGATTTATAAGGAGAAGCCCGTTTTGTGAACTTCCTCTAAAAAATTGTTCCATCAATGTGGGACACAAACACAGACTTGCTATCCTGACGAATTACACAAAACACTGAGGAAATAGTATTAATCGTCACCCATTTACCAAGTGTTTGTTGTGGTTTAGTCAGAACAATGTTCCCACGAGTGTAGCACGGGAAGCGTGAGAATCACTTTTGTATTGTGCAGTGGCGTTGCTTGGTTAAATTCCAGGGGGGGGAGAAGCCTCAAATTTCCCAACTGCCTAACATAGATTTCCCAACTATTTTTTTTTAGAAATCAATTTCTGTACCGGTACTATTTTTAAAAATCTACAAATTATTATACTACACTGCAGTAACATTCAATTCAGTATTTATAAACTCGCATTAACAAAACATAGCTAGTTTTACATCCTATACAAAATTACTCAATTTCTAAAACTTCTACCAATTCATAATGAAATTTTATGACTTCAAAAAGCTTGAACAAGTAATGTTTCGAATCCAAAAAACTTTAAAAACCATTGTGGTAGCAGACGTAGCAGTGTAAAATTTTAGTGATATAAAATAAGCCTCAGAGTACAAATTAGTGGGTATAGAAAATATATTTTATTACAAAATAATGAAATTTAAATACTTTTAGAAGTTAAGATCAACATTTTAACTTTCATAAAACTTACAGCTAGGGTAGGCCTAAACAAGTTTGTAATGATGAAATATTAATATCAGTGTTGTGAATAATATTACTCTAGCCTAGAAAGGAATAAACCTAAAGTAAGACTCGTATAAAATAAAAACGTTCAACTTGGTTGATAATAAACTTATACATACAATAAAAATGTTAACCTTCATCTTCATCAAACTAGAACTTAGACAAAAATCAGACTTAGAGTGAAAGTCAAACATCAAATTTTAGGTTATGTTTTGTCCACGTAGATCTGTTTCAGAGTGATTAGTTGATTCATTTTTGTAAATCCTTAATTAGGAGTGATAAATAACTTGTGTAGATTTTTAAAATATATTCAGAGAATAAATATTCCATTTAGTTTATTAAAAAATAAGAGTTTTAAAGGTAATACCGATACACAAAACCTATGTTTAATGTTATTTTAATCTGCTTATTAGCAAGTACTCCGGTCAGTTAGCCTGCTCCAAATACCACAAAAAAGGTATAAAATATATTTCATGTGACTGACGTGAAAAATATTTTTGAATTTCTTGTAAACACTAACAAACAACATAATTGAACAGAAGAGCTACATTGCTTGCACTTTCAAAATTCAAACTTGCAGACGAATCATTCAGAATAATCAACACAGGACAGGATCAAGGTACCCAACATGCGTCCAATAAGGAACAAAATTTCTCGTAAACGAAATTCCAACAAGCTTTACCGCTAATTGATTATTGATTTCTTAAAATAAGGCGTGTTTAGCCATGGTTTAGCCTTGTTTAATCAAAGTTAAATTAAATCAAAGAAGCGTCAAGTTTATTTGTCCAAGTCAAAGAAATTTTTCCCTTTGATGGATTTTTGCAAATATTTAAATTTTGTTTAGTTTAAAAATATATTTTTCTTGTATCCGACTTCCCAACTGTCCCAACTCATGGCAAGGAAATTCCCAACTTTTCTCTTTCCCAGATTCTAGGGGGGGGAGGCTCCCCCCCCTACCCCCCCCAAGGCGACGCCCCTGGTATTGTGTCGTGGTGAAGTGAAGTGAAATGCTCCCGAAACCTGCTTCTGTAGTGGAACCACAACTACTAGCTGAGTGATGGTAACTCATACAATGCACATTGACTTTAGATCATGATTCATCCTTTAAAATATAACTGTTTGTGTTCGTGATTCGTTCTGTTTGTTTACGATTGCTAATAATGTTTTAATTTCATATTTAATTTGTTTAAATGCATTTGAGATAATTGTTATTTGACATTTAAATCAGTAAATCTCGGATAGCTACTAAGGTACCAATAAGCTGATGGTGTTCTCGGCATTGGAGCAGCTGACGGCCAGTCCTAAAAAGCTCTATTTCCTACAGTCACCCGACAAAGTTGGCTTCCTTGTACTGTTTATAGTACAGAAAGCTGCTAATTGCTGCATATTTATACTTTGCCGTACGGTTTATACTTTGTCGTACGGTTTATACTTTGCCGCACATCAGGATTCCAACGAAACAACACAAAACAGCGTGGTTCTATTATGCACGTAATCCGTGTACGCTTGGAAATAGGTTGGCAACAATTAAAGATAATAATACTATGAGCAGCTGATTGACTATTATAACTACGATTTAACCTGCCATTTCGTGTTTATAGTTTCGGTATTTCTGAAATTTCTGGACTTTTCTTTTAAACGTTTTTAAAACATTCCTATGATCTTAATAAACAAAAAAATACCTTTAAAGCATTTTTTTGGCGCGGAAACCACTTCAAATTACAAAAACGTACGGAACTATATTCTCAAAACGCGGAGCACATTTCTTGCCGAGGAAAAATAGCGGAGTGATACGGACCGCAGGTACTACTTTCTCTAGGGCACCATTTGTGATGCCAGCTGAACCTAAAAACGTGTTGTATATCGTTTGAAAGACTAATTATTTATATGCTTTATAGTGACTGTAGGAAAAATATAATGTGTAACATGAGTGCAAAAGGCCTTTGCTGCACTCGAGACCATTCCGCACGAGCCGCAGGCGAGTGCGTAAACATTGCTCTCGTGTGCAGCAAAGTGCACTTTGCCCACTAGTTACACAAATAACTATTATACAGTTGGAAACTGAATCCAACTGAGGAACCGACTGCTTTTATATTTGTCTAAAAACTACAAACTCCGGTGTGTCGGCCTCAAGTACAACTCAATAACAAAAATAATTAACTGTGGTTATTTTAAAATATAAGGCTTGCTTGAAGACAATAGTCATTGCTTAAAAAGATGACAAAACCTATTAAAATCAAACATAAACATGTTAATGTGTTTGTAATTTTTTTTTTTAATTTAACTCTCTCTCAGCTGCAGTTGTAAGATTTGGAATTGTATAAGTATTATCTCATTGGCAGAATGCCCATCTCGTTCCACATAAGAGATTCTCTCAAATTAGGTATAATAAGGACGTGACCACTTCAGTGTTCTAAAATAAAATAAAATGACATTCCTTAAAAACTCTTCAGGTTCAAGTGGGCTTAACAACATTACCATAATTTAGGCCAGCATTACCATCATTATCTAATTTATTTCAATTTTCCCTTAACTATTGAATTCCTCTTTCAACTTGAAGTCACTAAAATTCAACTTTCCTCCTCAAGTACTGTAAAACATTTCAAGATAATAAATGTACTGTACCGTATGTATGACGTGGTTACCAACAAATGTTGTTTTTAAGCCGATATTAAATGTTTTTGTACTTTACTACACAGCATAAAGTCTTCTCTTCCATCGCTAACGAATTGTAATCCAATACTATTAATGAAAATTACTATTTGAATCTTAGCATAGAACCACCATAGAACTTTTGACTAATACAACTAGACATTCCATCCCCATGCTAAATTTTGTAGCCAGTTTATTTAAAAAAATCGTCGTAGTTGATGTGAGCCACCAACAGATTGTGCTGATGTAAATTACTTCAGTATCCAATAGTCTATTATAGAACGTAGAGAAAACAGCTGAAAGGTAACACATGAACATCCATTCCTTCCTTATTAGAGAGAGTAAAATGGTGCTTAAAATAATAGAATAACGGAAATAATTGGCTATAAACTCCTAATTACTTTTACTTACTTTCGGCTCAAAGGAGTAATATAACGATAGCCAGGAAATCATCTTCACTACAACACGGCGATTTTAGAAAGACGAGGTCTTTGGAAACGAAGAATATTATGTATTATAAATATTGTATTTAATGTTCAGTGTAATGTCTTTGATTCAGTGATTACATGTGAGACAATGTAATTCTGATCGACACATTTGAGTTAAAAATAAATGACGATTGCTTTGTATTATCTGCATATATTGTTTAAACAACTTCTCACCTTATGTTTCAGGGGAGGCACTTGGAGCCAGGATTCTAAGACAGCTGGAACAATGGAACAGCGAACTGCAGGAACTGCGAAAACTGTCTGTGGGAAAGATACACAAAATTAACACTTAACGGGAGTATTCACTTACATGTATGTTTAAATAACGTATTTTCTTGGACCAATGATAAGCATCCTGCGAATTCCAATTAAAACATTTTGTTGGAAGCTGAGGATAAATGGTCTTACTTTATCCTTTTATCGCTTTTGGTACATTAAGGTACAATTAGTATGACATTTTTTTAACTGTCGTTGGCCTCTTTAACCTTGCATTTACTCGTTCACCTGTTCATCGGGCCTGTGCTAGAGACGATCCAACAAAGCAAGACGTGAGCAGGTACACTACAAAAGTGAACTGCACTTATAAAATGTAATAACGGGTGGATAATTATTTTTTGTGAGATTATCAAAGGTAAATCCAGACACATCATCGATAGCAAGTTATACAATCAGCTAAACCGTAATATAGACCCTTACAACCATTACAAAACAACCCAAACGCAAACGTGCAAGCTTTATCCTTATAATGTACACCTCACTGCTACTCTTTTGATAATCCCTGAGAGAAGCGCGGCAATAATTGCTGTCTCCGCGGGGTAATTCATGACGAATGACCGGGTAAATATGGTAATCCGAGGGTAAATAGGGAGACTGATTGTTAGTTATGGGGGTTGTGTATAATCCTTGTAACGTCGGCTTAGTCATCATGGGGTCCGCGAGACGACATGGGTTTGCGTATGTGTAGGTTTTAGGTGAGTGTGTTAAGATTTTTAGCACGTTTACCGATACGTGTAATGGTAATGGAACCTATGCTTGTGGAAGATAAGGGTCGTAGAAACAGCTGACCTCACAAAAAAACCCATATAGTTCATCTCACTTTATTCGACACTCGCCCTGAATTTATATTTACAAGAATCGCGCCTATCGTATGATTAATAACGCGTAGAATAATATTTGTTTTTAGTTTCATCATTGTTCAGCTTGCAAGGTATAGGACACGTTGCTACTTTAAATTTGAAGTCATCGTATGCTGGCTTATCTCTTTGCATTAAAATACATAACGTTATATGACAACAATATAATAAAAGTTGAAGACATTATAGAAGTAAGAGAATTGAAATAGATCGTGAAATAAGATGTTTGCATAAGATGTTGAAACAAGAATATCATTGCATAAAATATATTAGGGAAAGTATTTTGTTCACACTTAAAAAATAATGTATTTGTTAAACCAACATTAAATTATGTGAGAGGCGGAGAGATAAAGAGGCTAGGTCAGTAAATGACGTCACGTCTGTGTGTGTAACTGTAGAGTCAACAGAATTGCGAGTCAGCAACAGGTTCCGTCCTGACGGATAACAGAACTTTGCTGTATCAGTGAATCAGCAACTTAGCACAGCGCCACGGCAGTCTGCAGGTCTTGGTGAGAAAATATGTTGAACGTAAAGCAAAGATCCTTAAACATATTTGGTCTGTATATGTGAAATTCATAATAAGTAAAATGTTAAATGCATGAAGATTGCGCAACCCCTATTAAGATTATAAACGTTGGGTGTTTCGAAGGAGTTTAGACTTTGATGAACATGTTTTGGTCACTTCAACCCCCATCACTTAGGTTTCAAGCTTCGGGACCTTGTGTCTTTGATTATCCTAATGTAATAATTTGATCAAGAGAAAAGCTGTTTATTGTTAGTGCAAACTGTAAATTGCAAGCGAGACAATTGCATAGGGAAAGGAGAGGATTCAGAAAATAAGAGAAAATATAGTTTTCAGTATGACTTTCTAGCCTATTTAATAAAAAAATGGGTAAAATGGGAACTATTGGAACAAGTAAATATTATTTATATGTTATATGCAGCTGTGCACGGGACTTAAAATTATCTTAGGATAAAATAAAATGAAGTATCTATACCCTATCAGTTTTCAAAATAAATATTTTTGACGGGCCAAATTTAAATTATATGATACATATAAAAAAAAAATACTTCTTATCCTCATGTTTTACACAAACAGATTCAGAAGCATAGTTTGTTTCTGCCAGAAACAACTTTTGAACAGTTGGTACTTCAAACACGAAATACGTACTTTGTCAAGGAAACAACCGATTTGCCTTTACGTCAATTTAAGGATGTTCCAGTGACCTACATCTGAGACACCCACGACATCAGCTGATCGACACCGGAAGTCCTCCCGCAGGCAACAGCTGACCGGAAGAAGGTGTCCGGAAGACTCATGTAGGGACGAAGAAGCAAGGAGGTCGCACGAAGAGTGAAAGAGTGAGTGATAGTAAGATTATGTACTTCCATTCTTCTCTCACTGCACAAGCGAATAATTTTGACGAATCCAATGGAAAGTTGATGAAATGGAAGACGCAGCGAATGCAGCGATATTTCTTAGCTGAGTCTGGGGAGTTTTTAAATGCAGGGAAACTTTTGTCTTCGCTTGAGGGACAAATCGGTTTTGGTCTCTATAAACAAGTAAAACTTCACCATCAGGTAAATGCATTGTCACAACAAAGTACTCAGTACTCAAATCACTATCCACAACATAACACACACATATACGCATACATGTATATTTGCAGAATATATCTACTTCTTTTGTTGTTGTTGTGTTTCTACATAAATACTCAGTTTGGTATCTTCAACAATTAGATTTCATGGAAGCATTGGTCACTAGTTAAGTGGACCATAGTGAAATTTGTCATATTATACTGTACAATGCGAGCAAAGATCTCATTTCACAGTTTCTGCAGAAAGCGTATAATTGTTGGACGTTGTGTTGCCCGGTTCACTGCCTCCCAGTCACGGTACAAGATACTCTCAGTGTGGATATAGCCTAAACTAGAACTAAAGTACCGTGGTCCATACTAGGCCGAATCTGTGATGTTTCGCATTGAGACGGAAATCGATTATCGAAGCCTTGATTGATTCTTGGCTTCAAGAGACGTTTTCTGTTATGCATTTGAATTTATTTGTGGTGAAGTTTAAAAAATAAACACCCCCCGCCACAGCAAACCTGCAGACTAAAGTCTTGAATTCCATTCCCTTGATTAGAGTTTTAGTTAAATGTTTCCTTCCACCTGTTAGATCTATTCCCTATTTAAGTAACACTAGCAGCGAAACCTGGTGTTGCCTGGGTCAAAATAATATTCACAATAATGATAATAAAATTAATTTGAAAGCACCAGTTTGTTGTATATTTGACGTATGCTGTACGTATTTTGTTTGAAAATGTTTTCAGACTGGTATAGCTCCGTTTATAAATTGTGCTACTCACAGTTTAATTTTGAAATGTATTTACGTTGCAGCATTTACATACATCCTGTATTCATTTTCCTATAGCAATACAGTACTTGGATGTTCTTCGTACTTTGGCTTGGCTAATGAAACGCTTGAAGTTCTATACGTCCGTTTGAAGAGTCAATATGCGTACAATAAGTACATAGTTTATAGAAAGTGACTGGGCAATTTACTTATATTACTTCATCATTAGATTGATATTTTGAAGAAACCCCAACTGATGAATATAAAAGTCAAATAATGGTTGGCCTTATTAGTTATAAGATATCCTAAGTATAATCCTAAATCAAAGTATTTCCCCTAAAAATTAAACATCATGGAAAGATTTGGAACTGCTAAGTCATTTGTTTACTAAGGGCCATCAACCTCATTGTCTTGACGTTTGAGCCATTAATTATCATTTATTGGTATCACTAGAACCAAACTTGCGGGAGTGGTTTGCTCCTTCTTTTCCTTGGTAATATATTTTTAAGATAGTCACTTTGAGCTGAAAAATAACAAACAAATTCCTCTGAAAGTGCTATATTTGGTTTGATAAGTATTATATACAAGGTTCTAAACAGTTCCAATATTCTCAATACCTTTATTATGTAAATATTACCTATTTCCCCTCTATTACACATTGGACTGTACACAATAAAATATATATATTAACTAAAATTTAATATTTTTGTCGTAGGCTAATCGTGAGCTTATATTCCGTCTATTCATAAAAAATGGACGCTGTGGTTAGGTTGGGTTATGAAACAATATCTGACTAAAATTAGACCATGATTTATGAACAAAACGGCTACAGTATCAAGTAGCCATACAAAAGAATTAAATCTTCCAAATAACACAAATACACCTCGCTCGTACCCAAATACAACACTAACCGTCTGTAGTAGGTGTAACATCAGTTAAACAACATAATTACCCAGTCAATCAGTTCGTCCTTGATGGAACACCTTTTATATAATTATCGCACTCTATCATGCTTGCCTCTGCTGCCACTACTCGCACTTACTTTCATATCAAATAGGTTTGACGTTAAATAAACAAAGACTTAACTAACACTATATGAAGTAATTATAATGTTATGTATGGACAAGGAATTACTTGGATTGTTTATTCAATCATAACTTCGGTCTTCATGTTCATAGCCGATTAACCCTGTGTATTTTAGGACCAAAATAAAGTACTGGAACAAGAATTACTGCTTACTTACAAAATAAAGATACATAACGTAATTAGGCTGAAAAGTAAACGTCAATTCTTGATTTTAAAAGGGCCAGCAGACAAAATAAACAGATTTTTAAAGTAAAGGATCTCGGAGCTGCGTACATATTAGTTTGAAATAAGAACTAGAATCTTACTTGTAGTATTTTAAAAAAAAAAAATTGCATCGTTAATTAATAAAAAAATATACCTTTGTTATTAACCGTATAAACACTATTCTGTTGTAGGTTATTATTTTCCGATCAACCTTCTGGCCACTTATAATATTGAAAATGGTCACCTTCGGGATTTGAACTGCAACTCCTGGACCGAAGTCCCGCGCAACTCATGGATGCAAATGTTTTGACTGAATTGACACCAGTGCCAAGCAGAGATATCTGCAAAGTTGTCTCGGTAAATAACTTCACTATCAGTGTAATATTTGTGTAACCTGCCTGTTGCCTTGCCGCGCACTCTCTCAACAGAACAGACTCCCATCGTCACTTACATTTAAACTAATGCTTAGCAGTTAATTTAGTGTTTTAATATTCAGCTAGGCATGGTAAATAAAATTGCCCCCAAGTCCTTACAGGGTTTGAATGGTTATTTCGGTAAAGCCCTTTTCCGAAGAGATGATGTATTAATTTTGTATACGCTTAGCAAAATATTTCATATTTTGATTTATTGTGTGTGAATCAGTTGTCATGCAAATGACAGATTATTGAAAGAAACTCTGAATACCCAATTGGTCACATAATCATTCTAGACAACATTTGAGTAGAAATACAATATTTACGGAGTAACCTCAAAGAAGTAGGCTATATTCGAGACTAGCCTGAATTCTTGTTAAGAACTGCAAGGGATTGAACCGGGATGTTTATAAATACATTATGTACAAAGTCTGCGGGTATAAACTTTTAAAATGTTGAATTTTAATTTTACAGTATGCGTATATACATTATACGTATAATAGCAAAATCAGTGAAATTAAACAATACTTTTATGACAAAAATATGATGCGACCATATGTTATCAATAACCTAAGTACAGTATTTCCAATACGTTACGAATTAGATGAGATGCTATACAACTGTATCCTCAAACATGAGGGTCTCAGAGTGAGTTTACCATACATTTCAATAAAGTGTAGATCAAATGTTAATTTAGTACTTATTTAATTACAGCCAAGTCTGCAAATAGTTTAACAAGAAGTCTGCAATATACTCTGACAAGTCGAAAATATACATAGCATTGACAAAAACAAAAAAATATCAAATAAAATAAATGTTTGCTGAAAAATAATACAACATAAAACACAACTAAAAAGAAAAATAATTTAAAGTTTTATTCGGCAATGTTTCACAATATGTATCGAATGTTTATGACTACTGGTGTCACATTGTTCTTGTAAACCTTGAGATGTGTGTGGTGGCCACCAGTCGTAAGTTCCTTCTCAGCAACATGCTAAAAGGCTATATAAAGTGCCAGACACGTATTCGTGAAACACAAGGATGCCAAATTTCTGTCAAGATTATTTTGATGTGAATGTATACCTTTGGTCTTTACCTGATAAATATAGTTGATTGAGAATTTTATTTTGCAGGGTTGTAAATTTATTTCGATTTCATTCAGAAAACCTAAAATACTGGCGACATAACATCTATTAACTTATATTAAATACACTTTACATACAAATGAAATACCTGTATTATTTTTAGTAGGCATATTCAAAACTAATTACAAGTAGTAAATGGAAGTCAATACATGGGTTAACACATTCCGAATTAGTAATTATTCAAATTTGTAAATGTAGATTACGTTTGGATTTAGTATCCATATACATATTAATGCGTTGGATTGATTTATCTAGTTAACTATTTAAACAGCAAGCGTAATTTGATACCACAAGACTATGCTACATAGACGCACCCGGTAAAATACTGAGACGTTGACTCACTTATAAATTATTCGGGTCAAGCATTTTCGGAAACGTATTAAACCTGTCACCGCGCGGCGTCTCAAAGCTGAGAAACCGGCGAATGACACAATTTGCGAGTCTGGCCAATACTTTTCTGTGCGAATTAAATATCAAAATAAATCAAATTACATGTGCTTTAAATCCATGATGGATCTTTCTGATTTAAACTCATTTTTTTAGGTTGAAAATAAAATTAGCATAGTTTGGTGTTGATGTCTTTAAAGTTTTTTCACGCAATATCAATATCTATTTGTAAAGTAATGTGTTTTGTACTGTTATTATAGCAAAACAGTGAAGTACACGTTGTACAACCTATTCTCAAGTAAGAGAAGACGATTTATTCTCCTCCAATGCACTCCAGGCTGACCAAATATATAACAAAACAATCAAACAATGTTTCAGATTTCATAATAGAATGATAGGTCTATTTGCGGTTTCAAAGGCCAATGGCAAATTCGTTTATGTATGCTCGACACAAAACATCTTGAGCTAATTTCAACCCTCTGTAGTGGTAGAACAAATACAATCAGCTGATCCGAATACCTTACATACAGCTTACCATTCAATAATAACAATTCCCTGTTTGTAGCTCTACTTCAATATTATTTTGTTTAAACAATGCTTTCTAAAGCTTAATATAATTAAGGTCTTGTGGGGATTAATAGGAAAAAATATGAAAACCCGATAGGACACGAGCAAAACACCGTAAACAGCAAAAAACTGTTTTAGAAGAAAATAAATAACAATGAATCACATTGACTTTTGTATACATCTCATATATATGGACCAGTTAAAGTAAATTTTGTAAGTAAGATTATGGTTGAATCATAGACTGAATATATTTTATACACTAGTGTTTACTATTTATGGTTAAATGTCCCACTGACAAGAGAGTGCTCCTAGGCTAACACTCTATTTTCTCCTTTATTTTTCGATACTGTCATAAGTTAGGCCTATGTGACACGCAAATTATATTTTACAAAAAGATGTACCTCCAGTTAGGCTTGGTTAAAAAGTATGCGGAATTCGTAATGTACATAAGTTTAATCGCTAATTGGTGGCTCAATAGAATAAAATATTTATTCCTAACACTGGCTACAATTATTAATATTGGAAATACGATTATTTTGTGGATTTTATGTAAAGTTCATTGATGAAATCAGAAAAAAGGAATAAGTCATCTTAACAAGAAGAGTCAGAGAGCAGTCTTTATGTTTACACTGTTATAAATGATCAGCTGTTTATAAACAAATATTTAACAGACTAAAATAACAGAACAGAAAACTCCAAAGAAGGTAAAATACATAATAAGGCATATATTACATAAATATTATTGTGTATAAATAAATAGAAAAGGTTTTGAAACATATATTTTGTACTTACGTTGGTACAGGAGCCAGCGAATGCCGCTCTCCACGTACAAAGCACAGTTTAGCGTACAGCGTACAGCGTGGCCGGCGCGGCGCGACTGTACAGCGGTAGCGCGGCGTACAGCGACTGGCGGAAACTAACCTTGTACAGAGGACCCTGACCTCCTCACGCTCCGTGCTGGGAACTGACTTCTCGTGGGCATCTGACCATAGTCTCACTTGGGCATAGTTGTCCCCCACATTCATATAATAGGACGTAGGCTCAAGCCCGGGACCAAACACATTACTCTATACTAGACTTGGAGCGGTATTATCACTTTAGTAAAATCCATTGGTGATTTACAGGACTTGAACCCGGCCTCCTGAGGCTGAAGTCCCGTGCTCTTCTACTAGACCAGCTCCCCCTACAGTCACATCAGAATTTCGGTTGCTTTGATCATCACCAGCCGAATTCTCCTTTTCAAATGTTTATGTTTAAGAAACGTTAAAAAACTAGAAATAACACAAAAATTCACATATTGAGGAATTTGACGAAGGGCGTTTCCCAAACTAAAGAAACCAGATAAGTCACTCGACCAAGTTCAAGGGACAGACACAGAGACAAGTTTTTCTGCTTTAACTTTAACCAAGTGATATAACTGGTTACATTATACGGGGATGACCTTGGAGACGCTCCATCAGCAAAAACTCGCACCTCCGCCTGTCTTGCTTGGCGAGTAGTGGGTGTAGGTAATACACGTGTGCCGGGAGGGTTTTGTAGCGTAGAGGATAATTCTTAAACAAAAATGAAAATATCGTAATTATAATACTTCAAATACTTAAATAAATTATAAAACTTTTTTTAGCTTGCACTATCACAACGATCGAAAACACACACCAATCCCACAAGATGCCAAAGTACATAAATAACATTTTTAAGAAATAATAAGAGAAAAAAACAGAGCGTTTTCAAGAAATGTTTTTTTTATATTTTGTTTATGAAAAGCGTACATTTTTCAGTACGAAGTTATGTTCAACCAACAAACACGAGCAACTCTTTTTATTCTATAAGGCTGAACTGAAAGACAATGCGACTCCACTACCACACGAACATAAACTCCCAAATCCAAAGGCAACGAAACAAAATGCAATGATGGAAAAGCTTAAACACAACTTGTGCACAGTAAATGGGATTTGACGTCTTTCGGTCTACTTCAACGCTTCATACATTTGGGGTTTGTAAGCTTGTTTTAATGTTATAACTATCTATTTTGTCGCTTTTAACACAATTGATATTTTTTTTACTTTCTAAGGAGAATGTTTAAACCTTAGTCTCTTTACTGTCTGGTGTCGTTTTTAGATAATATTAACCAATGACTTCAACCATTTAACGTAACGCAACGTAGAGTACATAATTAACTACCTCTGATACCCCCTTAGAAAATGCCATAGGTGCAGAGAACAAGAATTAACAGAACATGGTTTTAGCAAACAAAAATGACTAAATATCTTGAAAAATATTCATTTGAGTCAAAAAATGTTAATTAGTACTAATTACACATTTCTAAATGTTATAAGACAGTATGTGACGAATTAGATCCAAAACTGCTTGATTTACTTAAGCTCAAACAAATAGTACATATGAGCGAGTCTACAGCTGTTAACAGCAGGCAAGAGTGACGTCATCGTTGTATATCTGTTGCAACAATGAGAATACAATTTGCACGCGCTCTGATCACTTATTAGCTTTGAATGTGAAGAGGAGGAATCAATTTGCCTTGCAAAAGTGAATTGCAAGGATCAACTACGGTTCAAAGCTTGCAACTCTATTGAGTCATATTTTTAATTTCCCCCTTTTTAGACCACAGGTAACATGTTCATGTATAATAGGGATGATGTGAGAGAAATTAAATAAAACTTAAATAGGAAAAATCAAATTTTCTCGTTTAAAATTAATTTTGTTTTGTTAATAATTTTACAAGGCAGTAACATAGATTCGAGTGGGCTACATAGCTTATATGTTTAGGTAACCATGTATTCAATCAATATATATATTTATTTATACGTATTTAATACGCAAGCAGATTTTTTGTGACAATTACTCCTCCGAAACTACTAAACCGATTGTCATGTTTTTAGTGTCATTGGAAAGAGCGTAACGTGAAGTTGTGCAGGAAACTATCTTTTTATGGAAATAATTAAAGAGTGAGGCCCTGGGGCCCTTTAAAGTTTCGCATTTCTCCATAAGATTAACATGGGAAACAAACATTGTTTTGAAACTCCAGCTGTTGTCAGAAATTCACAATGTTTACATTTGCTTTTACATTTAAATGTAAACAACCAGAACTGTCCAATGCCTATTTCGCAATTTCAGACAGCTGATAAAAAACAGCTATGTGGTAGGTTTATTTAATCCTAAACTTTATGATAGATTATTTATTATAAATCTATTTCAATGATTATGAAACAGATTTTTCCCGTTGCGAAGCAAAAATTAATAGTGAGATGAAGAAATAAGTTAATTGTAAACAGTCAATGTGTAAATTATGTATGTTGTATTAAAAATGTGTATAGTTTTGATTCAATAGGTACTTATTAGGTACCACAAATTAAAGATCTGTGATGGAACTAATAATGCGTCCGAAGGAAAATACTCTAAATGGTTCCTAAGTAACTTGTTAGGTACTAAATTTGTTTTATTATCTTACAAACTGTTATTTTTGGGTAACAGGGGCTATTTTCCAACATTTTCTCCGCGCGGCTGAAGTCCCGTAATTTCACCGTAATTTACTACAACTATTTTTGCTCCAGTTATTCCAGGATTGGTAATAGACTTAGACTTTAGTGGGGCGTGAGATTATTCTAGGAACATTGTTTTTCATGAATATTTGTTTGGATTGAAGTAGTTTGACTGAGGAAAACTTTACCAAAATGCCATTGTTTTCGTAAGAAAGACGTCATCAAGCGAGTTGTTCTAGATCTAGATTTTTGTTTGATAAAACTCGTCCTTCCGCCCAAAAAAAATTGTATCCTATAACCTACGTTGTATGTATTTGTAAAAAACGATTGCGAAATCAATTTAAAAGTTTGGTACTTTAGTTATGTGTATGGTTAACAAACACAAATATAACTCATTTTCCCAAAGCTATATTTTTCCAAGCAAGCGTATATTTTAATTTTCAAACAATTCAATTACGATTTGGTTAACTTATTTTTTAATAGCAACCCAGAAGACGCACAGGCAGCACTTTCCTGTGTCTGCTGATTTTCATATGAAATTGTTGATACATATAAGTACGCACTTTGTTCATGATGTGTATATTATGTGGAAATGAACATATTATTATTCATACGTTCATTCATTTGAAGCGCAAGCTAGTTATAAGAATTGTTAAAGATTTTATCATCGATCATACATTTTATTCCCCCATGGTGAACCTTACCATTGAGTCTATACATTTTTGTATAAGGTGTTTTTATAGGTGCAAACAAGTTTTTAAAGGTACATTTTAAAGTTAGTTTAAAGGTTTATACCCATACGGTTTTAGGATGTGTATTTTGATAGTGAATATTGACGTTTTCCAATTACGTACAGCACTTGAAATAAATTTTGTAGCGAGAAAGCAAATAAACTTCTTGGCTTGGACTTACTTTGTTGTTAATAAACATATTAGTCTTTCAACCGTCATCAAACAATAAAAATACCTTCCTAAACCATTGGACAAAACTACTTCATCTCCGCATACGTTATGTCCTCACTGTTTTTAATAGGGTTCAATACTGATTCTGATTCAACACAAACTATGCAATACCCTTTAACTTTTCAAAGATAATGTTTATTAGGTGAATTTTAAGTTATTAGGTGAATAAAATAGAAATTTACAATAAATTACATTTATTTTTATTTTAGATCCACACCATCTAGGGAAGAACCGCTGAATTTTGAAAGTTATATATAGAAATAAATCAAATGGTAGTAGTCCAGTCAATGAATGATCCAAAAGTAGGTGTAGAGTGCGTGAGCAGGTAACTAAGCGATTCCTTCAGAAACTTGTTCAGGGGGCTTAGGGTGTTAACATACCAAAAGTCCTGACTCCTAGGTGGTGAGCCAGGGGGTGGAGGGGGAAAAAGGGGGGGAAAGAGGTACGCATTTTGGGTTTTTTGATTATATCTCGAAAACTATCAACTTTTTGTATTCTATAGTAAATTATAAAATTGAAGAAGATTAAATTTTCTACAAGAAAAGTATATAATGTGTTTATTTTGGTTCAAACAGATTACGAGTTATAACTTATTTAATTGATATCTTATTAAAATACTCCTTCCATAAGAAATACATGTAAATTAGTATGCGAAATGGGGCGAATCCTATCTGCCCAAAGGAAATATAACTGATATTCTGGAAATCTTGACAAAATTTCCAGTAATTTGACACTTTAATCATTAAAATTGATCCAAAATTAAGGCGAGGGCGAGGTAACAAAATTTCGAGTTTTGGTGTTTTTTTATTGGAAATATAAAAAAAAACCTTAAATCATCCCATTTTTAACGCTCAACCTCGCTTTAATTTTTGACAAAATTTCATGATTAAAGTGTCAAATTACTGGAAATTTTGTCAATATTTCCAGAATATCAGTTATATTTCCTTTGGAAGGATAGGATTCGCCCCATTTCGCATACTAATTTACATGTATTTCTTATGGAAGAAGATTTTAATAAGATATCAATTAAATAAGTTATAACTCGTAATCTGTTGAACCAAAATAAACACATTACATACTTTTCTTGTAGAAAAATTAATCTTCTTCAATTTTATAATTTACTATAGTATACAAAAAGTTGATAGTTTTCGAGATATAATCAAAAAACCCAAAATGCGTACCTTTCTCCCCCCCCCCTTTTTCCCCTCTCCACCCCCTGGCTCACCACCTAGGAGTCAGGACTTTTGGTATGTTAACACCCTAAGCCCCCTGAACAAGTTTCTGAAGGAATCGCTTAGTTACCTGCTCACGCACTCTACACCTCATTCCTTGACTGGACTATAGGGTGTGATATCCTAGAGAAAATTACCTAAAAAATCATTAGTACCTCCACTGGATCACCATCTTTAAAATGCCACCACAATCGTAAAAACCGGTTAAGTAGGGCGGGCGAAAAGGATATTGAAAACCTGTAATTTTCAGTGTCCATTTAC